AAAAAAAAAAAAAAAAAAAAAAAAGTTTCGTCTATTAATGCCAGGAAGAGAAGTCGGAAAACTTGCCAGTTGTTTAAGTTAACAAACTTATAAACATAACTCTGACATTCAGGCACAGAGAATCTAAAGAGTTATAATCAAGCAGCCTATTTGTGTTTAAATTTGCATAACACAGTTTTAGTTTTTATTCTTTCAGCTGTAGTTCGGAGAGTATTTAATGGCCTGAGAGCAACCAAATAATTAATGCAACAACTTGATTCAAATGTAATATTAATGTCTACCTGGAATTTATATCCACACGTACAGAATGGGGATTGGGCATTAGAGGGTTTGTAAATATGGCGAAAGAACAATCTTTGAAATTTCTTATGATGTATTCCAATAGTATTTAAGCACATGTGGTCTTAGTGTGGTGCTGGGGCTGAGTTGTGTTGGAATCTGTCTGTGGAGGGTGCTGGCCAGAAGTGTTTGTCTTCTGGTCTGGTGAAAAAATAAATGTGCTTCACTTTCAAAATGCCTTTTGGACTTGTTATTCAATCATTCTCCTCCTGGACTCCTCTACCCAGACCAAACTCGGTCACCTATAACATCTCTAAGTTTCTGGCTTCAATCCTCAACCCGTAGATAGGCAGCTCTGAACACCACATCCAAAACACCTTGGATTTTGTTGAGAAAGTGAGAGATGTCATTATGGAGGCAGATGAAACAATGGTCTCGTACGATGTTATATCTCTCTTCACTTGTGTTCCAGTCACGAGTGTTGGAGGTAAGAGATTTGTAAGAGATTACAGGATGATTCCAACCTCAACAACAGGACCACTCTCAGCATCGACCAATTGTGTTTGCTTTTGGAACTGTGTCTTAATTCCACCTATTTCACATAAAATTGCAGTATTACAGGCAGAAACATGGGTGTGCCATGGGTTCCCCAGTTTCACCCATTGTGGCTAATTTGTACATGGTAGAAGTGTAAAAGAAGGCTTTGTTATCCTACCTGGAACACCACTAAGTCACTGGTTCAGATATGTGGATGACACCTTGGTGAAAATCAAATCTCAGGACGTACCACAATTCACGGATCACATTAACTCAGTGGACCAACATATGAAATTCACCAGGGAGGATATGAAAAGTGACAGGTTAGCCTTCTTAGACTGTGAGATTTCCATCAGTAACGGGGAATATTTAAAAGTTGATGTGTATTGTAAACCTACACATACGGATCAGTATTTCAGGTTTGACTCTCATCATCCACTGGAACATAAACTAGGTATCATTAGGACGCTACAACACAGAGCGAACACCATCCCCACTGACACAGCCAGGGAAGAAGAAGAACAGCACATCAAGAAGGCCCTGAGTAAATGTGGTTACCCAGCTGGACATTTGTCAAAGCTGGGAAAGCACCTAAAAGAGGCACCGGCCGATCCAGGAGAGAAGGAAAACCGCTGCCCAAGCGAAAACCTGTAGTGATGCCATGTGTCAGGAGTATCGGAACAGTTGAGACACATTTTTTCTAAACACTGAGTTTCTGTGGCTTTTAAACCCCAAAACACGGTGTGAAAATATTGGTCCACAAGGATCAGGTCCCCCGACACAAACAGAGTAACATAGTGTGCGCTGTTAAGTGCCAGGAGGATTGCCAGGATTTATACATCGGGGAAACCAAACAACCTCTGGCGAAGCAGATGGCACAACACAGAAGAGCTACCTTGTCAGGCCAGGACTCTGCAGTCTATTTACACCTACAGGCCAGTG